TGCCGTACGCGGGCCTCTCACTGCTGTGGCCTCTCCCATTGCGGAGCAGAGGCTCCGGACGCGCAGGCCCAGCGGCCATGGCCCACGGGCCCAGCCGCTCCGCAGCACGTGGGATCCTCCCCGACGGAGGCACGAACCCCCACACTCTGCATCAGCAGGCGGACTCTCAACCACCGCGCCACCAGGGAAGCCCCATCTGGGGGCCATTTCTACTCTCTGTGACCTCAGTCAAGTTACTCAACCTTTCACACCTGTCTCCTCACCTGAGAAAGAGAATATCACCACCTACTTTGTAAGGTTGTTGTGAGGACTGGGAATAATATATTAAGGGACCAGATCCTTGGAAACCCTCCTATAAATGGTAACTGCTGTGATGTATATGAAAAGTTCGTTTGTGCCTTTCATACTTCCCAATTCATACCACGTAAATTCTTTTGTCTAGATTACATACAAGAATTACAAGTAAACTTGAAATGCTCTGGCTATTTCTTTCAAGAACTCTGTTCTCTTCTAAAATGAAAGATCTGCAGTGATTAGGAAAAAGGACTGGCAACCTCAAAGGGGGAGGTGCTCCGGGGCCCCCTCAAGGGAAACTGCCCCCCCCACGACTGTCAGCTCTCTGAGGGCAGCGACTGCCCTGTTTAACTCACCACTGTGACCTAGTTTTCCTAATGCAGACTAATCGCTGTAGACTTAGACATCTCATGACAGCTTACATGACACAAGAGTGTATCTCACAATACTGAGTCACAAAAAAATATTAAAAGTTGAACATTACGATAGTTTAACTGTAATATTAAAATTTAAAACAAAAAAGGCGCTGTAAATCGAGCGCCTATGAGGTAACCAGAATGAAGTCACGCCTTTAATGATAAAGGACCACCAGAAACACATAGATGTCCACAGGCACTGAAGCTCCGGCAGGATGTTCCACTGAACTGGCGCGATCGCCTCTGGCCTGAGATCGGGATTCGAACCCAGAACTTGTCCCGAAGGACGGGCAGAGGCCACTCCAGAGAGGAAGAGGCCTTTAAGGCCAGGCGCACCTCGCTCGAACTTTCTGGTGGGCGCCGGCCCGACCCCGACTGCGGGCGGCTCGACTCGCGTCCCCTCTCCCGGTCAGCGGAGCAGCTCGCGACGCGGAAGCGCGGTCGGAGGGACGAGGGTCGCCAGTCCTTTGTCCCCCGCGGAGGGGCAGGGGCGACGGCAGCTCTCCCTCCTCTCAGGAAATAATGACAGATCGCGCGCCCTCGCTCGAGCCCGCCCCGCCCCGCCCGCCAGGGCCGCAGGAGGCGCCAGATCCGCAGCCCCCAGCCGAGGGGCCTCGGCCGCGCCCCCTCCTCGCCCCCCGCCCGCCCAGGGCGACCCCGTGCCGCCAGCCTCACCCGGTCGGAGATGGAAGCTGCCGTCGCGGCGGCTGCACCACAGCGCGCGTTCGTCCTGCTGCAGGATGTAGTGGTCCTTGGCTTGGAAGAGCTCCATGCCGGCCCCGGACGCCGAGGGAGGCGGCGGCGGCCCGGGCGCGCCAGCGGCTCCGCAGCCCCGCGACCCCAGAGAAGGCGGTTCGCGCGGGGCGTCCTCGTCGGCCGGGGCCGCCAGAGCCCGCGCTTCGGGGAGCTGCGGCTGAGGGAGCGCCCCGGCTGCCAGACCCGCGGGAGGAGAACGCGCCGCGGCGGCGGCGGCGGCGGCGGCGGCGGCGGCGGCGGCGGCGGCGGCGGCGGCGGCGGCGGCGGCGGCGGCGGCGGCGGCGGCGGCGGCGGCGGCGGCGGCGGCGGCGGCGGCGGCGGCGGCGGCGGCGGCGGCGGCGGCGGCGGCGGCGGCGGCGGCGGCGGCGGCGGCGGCGGCGGCGGCGGCGGCGGCGGCCTTGGGAGTCCTCTCCCCCGGCTCCGCCCCTTGATAGGCCCCGCCCCCGCTCTCCCTCATGGCTCCTCCCCTGCCCCACCCCTTCCCCGGCTTCTCCCCCGACTTCTCCCAGGCTCCACCCCCTCCCCGTCTCCTCCCCGCTTCTCTCTCCTTTCCGTTCCTCTTCCTGCCCATTCCCGCCGCCTTCTTCTCCAGCTTTTCCTGGGTTTCTCCGCCTGGTTCCTCCCCCGAGGCTCTTCCTCCTCCCTCTTCTCTCCCCATCCAAGCCCCCTCCTCCTCCTCCCGCTCTTTCCAGGCCCCGCCCCTGGCGGGCCCGCTTTCCCAACTCCGGGGATTGCGGGCAGAACACTGGCCTGGATGAGACAGGCTGGCCGCCTTACTGCCCTGTGGCCTTTGGAGCAGAAGCCCACTTCTGGGGCCTCCCCTCCCATGCCAGCAGGTTATTCGTTACTTTCACCAGCCCTGAGAAAAGCCAGGCCGACTCCCTAAATCCAGCCTGAAACCACCACCCCCCCTTCCCCCGGGCCTGTACTGCCCGCAGAGACCCAGACTAGGAGAGCTGGGAAATGCGACCTAAGGGGCTGGTTGCAGGGGTCTGTCACCAGCCAGACTCCACAGAGCTGGGGCGTCTTCTGTTTTGGAATTTCCTCTTAGAACCTTGCAACATTTGACAACAGCAAACATTCAATAAATGCACATCAACGAGCAGCATGTAACAATAGAAATTAAACAAGTATTACCAGCACGGGGCTCTAAATAACGAGAAGGAAGAGAGCAAAGTCCATAAGCTATCATGTCCCGAATTAAGCAGGACGCATGTGAGAAGACAATAAAATGTCAAGGAAGTAAAAGGGGTCTAGTTTGACGAGGATAAGATGGCTGGAGAACCTCTTGTGGAAGGAGGAAGCCCTCCCAAGTATCTTCGAGCTATCTTGAAAGGCCAGGTGGTATGTTGAACAGAATGGGGCTTGAGAGTCAGGATCCCAGTTCCAGTCCCCACGCCAGGGGTGATCTAGCTGTGTGATCTTGGGAAAGTCTCTTGGTCTCAGATGGCGGTTGAACTAAATGACCTTTAATTACACTCCCAGTTTTATGAGTAAATGAATCTTTCTACTCCTATCTCCTGCCTTTTCTAATGCCTTAGAAAAGAAGAAGGAAAAAACAAACAAACAAAAACGAGGTAGAAGACAAGAAAAGCAAGGCAATGCTTTTAACCTTCTGCTAGATAAAAGTGAGAGGGCCCAAAAGCAGGAAGGAGTTCCACATTACTAATTATTCCAGCCCACACCGGTTTCTCAGTTGAATTTCCATAGCACAGGAAGTCCCATGATGACAAACTGTCCTGGAATCTGTGATAAGTACTATGCCTTTTGGACTGTCCAGACATCTCAACCTAAAGGTCGATAGGAGCAATTACTAGGGCAAATGAGGTGAGTTGGACAAAGAAGATAATGGCAATAAGATGGTGGAAAGAAGATTCGGTGGAGCCATCAGTTTCGGATTTATTGTTGAATTCAGCCATGTGTTGACTTTCCTTAGCAAAAATTAATAGATAATGAGAAAGTCCTATGAAGACAGGATGTTCTGCAAATTACTTCTTTATTTTTTAATGAATCACATTGCCAGATGTGAAGAAAATAATGCTATTGTAACTTTTGGTTTTTTGTTTTTTTCCGGTATGTGGGCCTCTCACTGTTGTGGTCTTTCCCGTTGTGGAGCACAGGCTCCAGACGCACAGGCTCAGCGGCCATGGCTCACAGGCCCAGCCGCTCCGTGGCATGTGGGATCTTCCTGGACCGGGGCAACGAACCCGTGTCCCCTGTATCGGCAGGCCGACTCTCAACCACTGCACCACCAGGGAAGTCCTATTGTAACTTTTGAAACAATTAATTTGTTGATTGAGACTTTCCCTGATGTTTTAAATCAGTGGTTCCAACCATAGCTACCTAGTAGATTCACTTAGGGAGTTTTTCAAACATACCAATACTAGGACCTCAGGCCAATTAAAGCAGAATTTAATTGAGATGGGCTCTGGCAACAGTATTTTTTTTTTTTTTTTCCTAAGCTCCCCAGAGTATTCTGATGTGCAGCCAGGATTAAGCACCACTGTTTTAAATGAAATTAAATGGAAAAATCTGCCTGACAGCAGCTTAGTAGAAAACACCAGTCAGTCATTAACTCAGACCAGTGTATGCGGGTGATGACCTGTAAATCCAGAGTTAACAAGCAGAGCCCTTAGGAGAGAGAAAACCTGAAGATGTTCCTGGAATCTATCTGACCCAGATGCACAGTGCTCTCTCCCTCTCACTCTGAATGCATGCTAGAGCCCTGGCCTGGCCAAGCAGAATGAGTGAAAAGAGTAAATACCGTGTCCCTAGCAGATATCACATCCTCAGTCTCCTGCCACAGGTGTCTTGCCTTGTTCCTGCTAAGGACTTCCGGAACCTCAAATACTCTTTACCTGCCAGGTGCTCCTGACAGTGCAGCTTCTCTACTCCCTGGCTGGCCTCCCCATCCTTGGCCTGTGGCTATCTGCCAACCTTCATCACTCTCTTCCAGCTTCCTAATTCATGGCCCTCCTGCCCTTGAATGGTGCCACCCAGTTTATGGTAGAAAGTTCATGTGATGCTCTTCTGTTTTTTAAACATGAATGACCATCATGTGTATTATATATCTTCTTTTACATGTATCATATATTTATACTAGTTTAAGTATATCCACTAGGAAGTTAGGTTCTAGCCTGTTCTGTCTGATCTTAGTCAAGTCACTTAATCTCTTTTAGTGTCAGTTTCCTTATTTATTAAAAGAGATTATCACTAACGGTTCTTCCAGCCCTGAAATCAGTGAATGTGAGGAAATGTGTCCACATAGTTAAACTTAGGCAAATAATGATGGTAAATGACTCAACTCTGATTATCGATTTGGCCTTCAAATTTAATAAACAAATTTATTATTTGTTTCTGAGATTTGGGGGTTATGATTAGATTCTAGTGTTCTGTGGTGAAATTTGACTTTTAACATCATCTCCCGTCTACTTGTGTACAGTCTTGTATGTTGTTTGTCTACGAGAACTTTCTTCAGTATTGTTTGTATATGAGAAATCTTCCAAAGGAGATATATTTTTTCAAATACATGTTCTGCCTGCCAGGAGGCTGCTGATTTCTTCAGTCAGCAGTCAGAGCAGTTAAGAGCCCAAGATACTCACAAGCCAAATTTTCACATCTGACCAATCATCAGCCAATATCTCCTGGATTTGACTGCCATACCTCCTCCCATAACTTCATGAAGTTACAACTGGAAATTGTAACAACCATTTTGGAGCTTTGACATATGTAAGATTGTTCATTTGAGAAGCACCATAGAACAAAAAGGGAAAAGTCTGTTGCATTGGTCTAAATGAGAGATACTTTTGTTTAATAGAGATCATCTCTCCTCCATTGTTATGCTTTGGGGGTTAATAAGTACTGGCTTTTTAGTTGTACAGTCTGATAAAATTGTCAAGGACCCAAGTTATTGTTTAAACCAGCTATAATAATTCTTTTGCGTGTGTGTGTGCGTGTGTGTGTGAGAGAGAGAGAGAGAGAGAGAAAATGAAATGTGTTTTCTGCATCTAATCTTTCTCCTTCCAGAGGAAAGATAATTAGCCTTTTACAGTGATAATTTCATATTTGTCTAAAACCAGCTGTCTCTCACTTCCTCTGTGTTATATATTTACTTTTCAATTTTAAAAATAGCTGAAAAATTAGAGAGTTCTGGGGGCTTCCCTGGTGGCGCAGTGGTTGAGAGTCCGCCTGCTGATGCAGGGGACACAGGTTCGTGCCCTGGTCCGGGAAGATCCCACATGCTGTGGAGCGGCTGGGCCCGTGAGGCATGGCCACTGAGCCTGAGCGTCGGGAGCCTTTGCTCCGCAATGGGAGAGGCCACAACAGTGAGAGGCCTGCGTACTGCAAAAAAAAAAAAAAAAAAAAATTAGAGAGTTCTAAATAAGCTAATTTGAAGAAAAAAGTCCAAGGTATACTGTTAAATAGCAAAAGTCCTAGCTGCAGAGTAGTATTTTAATGTATCCCATTTGGGTTTTTAAAGGGGAGAATGGGAGAGATATGATGTTTTTATAAGCACAGAACATTTCTGAAACAAAACACAGGAAGTGTGGTTACCTCTGAGGAATGGAAATGGGGGTGGGGGGATGCTCAGGAATGGCAAGAAGGAGGGTAGAAACTTCCTTTTCACTTTATATTCCTGTATGCTGTTTTGATTTGTGTGTGTGTGTGCTTTTATTGCTTTAAATTAAAAAAAAAATAGTTAAATATGTGTGTGTCTAAAGCACATTCTTCCACCACACACAAAAACATTTTTAGGTAACTTATTACCTAAGGGTTTAGAACCTTTTGCATTGACAAGCCAGGAGTCCAGGGCATAGCTCTTTCTATTCTTCACACACTGCTTAGTAGTTTTGAGCTTTCCTAAAACCTTAAATGCTGTCAAAGTGAGCTATAGTTAAGTATATAAGCCATTTTTCTGCACTGTATCCTCTTTTACACAGAATATAGGAAGAGTATTTTTCTTTGAAACCTTTTCTAAACCGCAGCAGTAGCTGTCGCTTCTCCTTCCTCTGCCAATTGCAACTCTCAGGCTGATGGCCT